TGACCTGTAACCTGTACCCTGTGACTGACCTGGGACCTCTAGTCTGTGGCCTGTAACCTGTAACCTGTGACCTATGACTGTGACCTGTAAACTGTGACCTGTGACCTGTGACCTGTAACCTGTACCCTGTGACTGACCTGGGACCTCTAGTCTGTGGCCTGTAACCTGTAACCTGTGACCTATGACTGTGACCTGTAAACTGTGACCTGTGACCTGTGACCTGTAACCTGTACCCTGTGACTGACCTGGGACCTCTAGTCTGTGGCCTGTGACCTGTGACTATGACCTGTAACCTGTGACCTGTGACNTGAGGACGTCATGACATGAGGACGTCACGACTGTGAGAACATCAGGACTGTGAGGACGTCATGACAGTGAGGACGTCAAGACTGTGAGGACGTCATGACATGAGGACGTCACGACTGTGAGAACGTCATGACAGTGAGGACATCATGACAGTGAGGACGTCAAGACTGTGAGGACGTCATGACATGAGGACGTCACGACTGTGAGAACGTCATGACAGTGAGGACATCATGACAGTGAGGACGTCAAGACTGTGAGGACGTCATGACATGAGGACGTCACGACTGTGAGAACGTCATGACAGTGAGGACATCATGACAGTGAGGACGTCAAGACTGTGAGGACGTCATGACATGAGGACGTCACGACTGTGAGAACGTCATGACAGTGAGGACATCATGACATTGAGGACGTCAAGACTGTGAGGACGTCATGACAGTGAGGACGTCAATATTGTGAGGACGTCATGACATGAGGACGTCACGACTGTGAGAACGTCATGACAGTGAGGACATCATGACAGTGAGGACGTCACGACAGTGTGGACGTCACGACTGTGTGGACATTTACCACAACTCTGAGCCAGGACGTCATGACTGTGTGGATATCATGACTGTGTGGATATCATGACTGTGTGGACGTCATGACAGTGAGGATGTCATGACTGTGAGAACATCAGGACTGTGAGGACGTCATGACAGTGAGGACGTCAAGACTGTGAAGACGTCATAACTGTGAGGACGTCAGGACTGTGAGGACGTCAGGACTGAGGACGACAGGACTGTGAGGACGTCACAGCTGTGAGAACATCAAGGCTGTGAGGACATCATGACTGTGAGGACGTCAGGACTGTGAGGACGTCAGGACTGAGGACGTCAGGACTGTGAGGACGTCACGACTGTGAGGACGTCACAACTGTGAGAACATCAGGACTGTGAGAACGTCATGACTGTGAGAACATCAAGGCTGTGAGGACATCATGACTGTGAGGACGTCAGGACTGTGAGAACATCAGGACTGTGAGAACGTCATGACTGTGAGAACATCGAGACCATGAGGACGTCAGGACTGTGAGGACGTCATGACTATGAGGACGTCACGACAGTGAGGACGTCACGACGGTGAGGACGTCACGACGGTGAGGACGTCACGACGGTGAGGACGTCACAACTGTGAGGACGTCACGACAGTGATGACGTCACGACAATGAGGACATCACGACTGTGAGGAGGTCACGACTGTGTGGACGTCACGACTGTGTGGACGTCACGACTGTGTGGACGTCACGACTGTGTGGACGTCACAACAGTGAGGACGTCACGACTGTGAGGACGCCAGGACTGTGAGGACGTCATGACAGTGAGGACTTCACGACTGTGAGAACATCAGTACTGTGAGGACGTCATGACAGTGAGGACATCAGGACTGTGAGGACGTCATGACAGTGAGGACGTCAAAACTGTGAGGACGTCAGGACTGTGAGGACGTCATGACAGTGAGGACATCAGGACTGTGAGGACGTCAAGACTGTGAGGACGTCGGGACTGTGAGGACGTCAGGACTGAGGACTTCAGGACTGTGAGGACGTCATGACAGTGAGGACGTCACGACTGTGAGAACATCAGGACTGTGAGGACGTCATGACTGTGAGAACATCAGGACTGTGAGGACGTCATGACTGTGAGAACATCAGGACTGTGAGGACGTCATGACTGTGAGGACGTCATGACTGTGTGGACATTTACCACAACTCTGAGCCAGGACGTCATGACTGTGAGGATATCATGACTTTGTGGACGTCATGACAGTGAAGACGTCATGACTGTGAGGATGTCATGACTGTGAGAACATCAGGACTGTGAGGACGTCATGACAGTGAGGACGTCAAGACTGTGAGGACTTCATGACTGTGAGGACGTCAGGACTGCGAGGACGTCATGACTGTGAGGATGTCAGGACTGTGAGGATGTCAGGACTGAGGACGTCAGTGTGAGGATTCAGCATGAACAGACCCAGGGTGCAGGCAGGCTCCAAA